TTCTATAAAACTTAATAATCTAAACTGAATCGGAAAAAACAGCCTAGAAGAAGTTTCATGTCTCCCTTATCCTCCCCTGAGATATAGAATCCTCTGTCAACATTTTTATAATGTACCCAAAGCACAGGATGTGAAGCATGACAGAAAAATGCAATACCAACTTCTTACTGACTTTCTCCGAAAACTAAAAACTGGTTAACTGAGCTTCATGCTGCGTTATGAGTTTAATTAAAACAAGTGCTAACAGCTGTAATAGGTCTCATAAAAGGGCTTTCAGAGAGAAATATAAAAATTTGGGGTATTTGGTGGATAAACCTCATTTATTACTGTTGCAATTTACATTTAATACTACAATTTTAACACTTGTAATTAGTTAACACAACATGCTGAGCTGGTAGAATGAGCCCCTCATGTACCACCCACTGTAGTACTGCCCCTTGTTTGTGTACAGTACTTCTGTGCATGGGGTGGATCTGTGGGCGCTAAAGGGCAGGACACAAACACTGGGAACAGACAGGAAGATGTGTTAATGGCTTCTCGTGGTGCCAGTAAAAGAGGGCCAAAGAGCAAAGACGCTGTTACTCGTTTCAGCGAGGGATCAGGCACTGCAAGAGGAGGGAGAGATTGAGGCTCAGTCTGGAAGGAGGCTGAAGGTGCCCCACCGGGGGAGTTAAGCAAGATGGAGTGAGAGATAGGTTATGAATTTGGGGTAAAACCTCAGAGGCGAAGTTTTGGGAAGGGCAACAGTTATTTAACAAGCAGCTGGTGAAGATGTATGACAAATGGGCAAATGCTAAGTGTGAGAAATGTTTAGTAACAGGTAATGGACAAAGGTGACAACAGAAGATGTGAAAACAGAAGCTGTAGCAACAGTGACAGAGAAATACGTGTCTGGGGAGTGGCAGGTTGGGATCCAGTAGAGAAATGCTCATGACCTGAACTGCGTCAGGTGGAAACGTGAGAAGATGGGGAGGGGACAAGGATCTACATACGGCAAAAGACAGTTCCAGATTTGTGAGCAAAGGCTCAAGGAAGAAATAAATGTCTGAGTTCTTGGTTGACAAACCCCCTAACTTCAACAAACTTGTGTTTGAACAGGGTCTGCTGGGAAACACAGACAGCAATTGATATTTTGGATTTAGATTAGTCTTTGAACAACTCACAGGGAGGTTAATTTTATTTCTTCTCTTAAAACAAAACAGTCTAAAAACCTTTTACCTTTATTTAGTAGCAATGTCCATGAACTCTACTGCTGACAGAGCCATCCAGCAGGATCAGGGCTATCCAGTGAGTGACTGGCTACCACAGGATGTGCACAAAGTTCTGTTGCCATCAGCTCCCTCTGCCCAGAATTCACACCAACCTCAGTGGAGAAGGTCTTCATGTAATGTTTTCAGTGCTGGGGGCAGAAACTAAAGTACAACCAAAATGGGTATGGCTTCCACTTTGTATGCAAGAGAACCAACTGCTTAGCTCAGTCCTTATTTGAATATCCCCTGTTTACACACCAAAGTGCTGTTGCTTAGGGCTTCTCTGATGTGGGAACCATAAACTCTACATCTGCTACATAGTGTTGCTCAGGGTAGTTTAAACAACCTGGTCATCCCACACGTCTTATGTCACAGATTCAAACATGTGCCATTTTACGTCATAAGTATGACAACAGAGATATTTCTTTTTACATCTAGGTAACAGCTAGGACAAATGCTTTACAAAATCTGGTATTTTAAGGTTGATGTTTTCTACTGCCTGAAAAATTGTAATTGCTACCAACAGAATCAGTGTTTTCTGTGTTCATAAACTAAATTATGGCAATGAAAATGTGGACATTTATACAGGTATTTCTCCCAACTCAATACTTTGAAATTTATCAACAAATGCAGCAAAGTATCTTTCCAAGAATTATCCAAAATATTTTTGATGGACTAAAGACAGTGTCAAGGTAACATATGTCAGCTTCAAAAAACTTATTTTTTTCTCTGGTCTTTGTACTATTGATAGACAGTCCTATATGATTTACTGAAATATACAGTACTCTATAGGCTAACAAAAATGCGTACTAAGTCTTGCTTACTGTCACAAGCAAACTGACTGGTTAGAGAACCAAAGTTTGGTTTCTGAGGTTTAGCACTTGCCTGGGAAGAAAACCAAAGAGAGGCAGGAGAAGTAGTTTCATCTTGCATGCTGTGTTGAAGAATCTCTGCATCCTGGTAGCTAAGCCTGGGATCCCTTTGGTTTTTTTACTATTTCTTTTGGTAAAATGAAGAATTCAGAAGGTTTGTGTACATTATGCACAAAGTTACATGATGTTTATGGACATTTACAGCAACAGGAGAAAGCAGTGGGTAGAAAAACAAAGTTTGAATGTCAAACATAGAACACTTAAAATGTGAAAATATGCATGTTTTTTATAATGAGGGTGGTCAGTCACTGGAGAAACAGAGCAAGGGAAGTGGGGATTTTTTCATCTCTTTATGTCTTAAAATGAAGATTGGATACCTTCAGTTCATAATGATGCGGCAGCCAAAAAAAAAAAAACAAGGAAAAGTGTCAGAGAAATAGTCAAAATAGTCAGCATCATTTTTTCAGCTGCGTAAAACCAGCATGAGCCCACATTTTGGGATGTGGAGACCAGACCTGCACACAGTGCTCATGAAAGACACAGCAAAGCTGAGCAGGTACAGAAAGGAGGATTAAATGTGACTCTGGGGATGAAGCAGCTGCTTTTGGAGGAGAGACTGGAAGGACTGTAAGGCCTTTATTTTGAGAAGGTTGAAGCAGAAGGGCAAGGGTAGGATTTCACCTTGTTTGCAGAAGGCTCTGAACCTGCCTGTAGTGGTGTAATGGTGTGGGACATGCCCAGCTTGAGGGGGCTTGTGTGTCTCCTACAACAACACACAACAGCTCTACTCCAGGTAATTAATCCAATTCCCCTTAAACAAGAGATTGTGCTCACTAATACCAACCATCAGAATATTCAGTGTTTTCTTGCATTATCCTTGTACGGAATTTGAAGGCAAGTGTAATTAATCCAAGATGTACGTATGTTTATATAGAGTCTGAGCTCTAGCTGGTGCTGACAAGTTTATGAGAAGTGAATTATTACTTGTTATAAAAGGATTTATTTTACTTTTTAAGGAGCCAGTCTGGAGGTTTAATCTGATTATTTTATCCCTGTGCAAGACTACACAGACTATTTTGCTTTTTCTGCTTGCAACTTGGCTGGTCCTGCCAGCAGGACAAGCACTGAAGCTCCATCACAATTTCACTAAGGGTGCATCAAAGTCACACAGCACTGGGTAGGGCAGGCAGAGTGAAGGGAAGAGACCTCAATATTTGGGAGCACAGGCACGTGATAAATATGGGAATATTTTTCAAACATTAAGAAATTATTAGGAGACAATGTGATACTATATATATATATATATATAGATAGGAATACTGTGGGGACCAGCTTCATCAGCCACACAAGTCTTATCTAACTCCACAGTGGGTGCTGAACGTGCCATGAAGCCAGTGGAAAGAAATTGCATTGGTCATGCTGCCTGAATTAAAAACGCTATTATAAAGGGGATCAAATTAAGGCTGCAAGTGCATTTCCTAATTTATTTTCTACCATTCTTTTAATGTGAATGCTTATTATAGTAATAATTAAAAAAGTCATGCAAATTCAGGGTGAAAGAAAGCGTATGATGAGCTCTATGTATGCGCAGCAGGCAGTATTACAATTAACTTGATCGCCGACAAGTTTCTCACATATTTGTGCCATCAATTCTGATGCTCACAAAAAAAAAAAAAAGTGTATAAAGAAACAGGATAAACTGTGGCGTAAATCAACTTGAAAATGCGCTTCACGTGACCTTGGATGCTTCTGATTTTGTCCGTTGACCTTCAGAGAAGGCTAAACACAGCTCTGCTCTTTACTTTCCTCTGAAGCTGATTAGCTCTGTGTGGACATATAAATATCAGAAGGCCAATACAATGCAGCTCTTCAGAGACTTAACACTATTTACTGGCAACACATTTTCTCAAATAAATAACCAGATTTATATCCACAGGCACAAATGAGAGAAAATTGCCAACAAATGCTAAAAGCTAATATAAGAGCTGACAAGTGCCAAAAGCAGGCAATTTTTTGTCAGGTGGTTGGCTGTTGTGAAAGAGAGTGGGAAAGAAAAATCAGTGTATCCCCTTGGAATCAGACTTTCCCTTTCTTCCTCTGATGCTACTCGTCAGTGCATTTTATTGGCATTTTGTTTTTCCATTTCTACAGCACTTTCTACCTTTCATTTTTACCTCTTCACCACCAGCAATGTCTTCAGCACCCAACTGGCAAAGGAAAAATCTCATCAGAAATCTTTATTTTGTGGGGGACTAACCAGATACAGTTTTATGGTTGATCAGACCCTTTTCCCTGTATCAGTTCTGTCAGTACTTAAAGAAGGTACATTGAACAGTGAAATGTGCTCTTATATTGTTTGAGACCACCAGACAGATAATACTGTAGGAGTGTCAAAAATCAGTGTCAATTATCTTTTGAAAAAGGGGATACAGCAACTGTTATTCCTGGTGTTGAAAAGAATAAAAATTAAGAGAAATGGCTTTATACAAAATATTTGGATAAACTGGTGAGGTGTGGCAAATCTACCTCCTGTGCTTTTTAAAAATTTGTTAATTTTGTATGGATACAAGATGTAATCTTACTCCACATAAAAATATGGGACTTGTATTACAGCGAACACCTTTTAAGTGCCATGAGATTTCCAACTGCCCCCCCCTTGCTGAGAATAAAGTAAAAGCACTGGATGGGTGTTCTGGGATCCACTGCTGTGCCCTCCATGCAGCAGCCATGAATAGGATATCTTTGTATGGGAGTGTGGTGAGAACCATCTGGATAAGCAAAGGGACCCTGGCACATGAGCAAACAAAACCAAAACATAGTACACTGCCTCAGCCAATTCTGGGCTTCTAAGTGAAATTTTGTATTTTGAGCACAAGTTGATTTCTGCTCTTTTATTGTTGAAACAGAAGAAGAATTAAATAAAAATATTTGCACTGACAACGCGCAGCGGCGTCACTAAGCCAACATCCGTATTCCCCTTGACTTATGTTTGTACAGGACTGTTTTCTCCCAAGACGAGGTCTCCAGCAACGTCAAACCTTAAAGGCCGATGGCTCCATGCCACACAGCCCATTGCCTTCCCCTGGGCATCTGCCAAACACACAGATAACAGGTTTTGTACAATGAAGACAAGCAAAAATCTGAATAAAGCACATCCAACAACATACAAACGGGTACCTACAAAGCTCACATATATAAGCAACTGTGAGAGGGTGGGGAGGTGCTGGTACAGGTTGTCCAAAGAAGCTTTGGATGCCCCATCCCTGGAAGCGTTCAAGGCCAGGTTGGACAATGCTTGGAGCAATCCGGTCTAGTGGAATGTGTCCCTGCCCATGGAACCAGATGATCTTTAGGGTTCCTTCTAACCCAAACCATTCTATGATTCTGTGTTTCATTTCTCTGAAATTCTTCATCTTCAATGGTTTATTATTAAGCAGATCAGAGCTACTGCCACAATTTCACAAGTGATGTCATTATGGCTCTATTCAGGTGTGAAGAGCTGCATGCTCCTCTTGCGCTCACTTCTTTTAAGAATTGTTCTTTAATGCCTTAATTCTGACAAGAAACTAGAGGGGTGGGAGGTCCTAAATCAAACTGCTACCAAGAATTAGATTGAAATTTATATTGGGTCTGATGAAGGTCAAAGAAAAACAACTTCTCCTGCTCCTGGGGGACCTTTTAAACACCCTTACAGGCAGCTTGAGAAAAGAAAACCTCTGTCCTTGGCACTGGTGAGGTCACACCTTGATTCTTGTGTCTAGTTCTGGGCCCCTCACTTCAAGAAGGACACTGAGGTGGTGGTGTGAGTCCAGAGAATGGCAAGGGAGCTGGGGAAGGGTCTGGAGCACAAGTCCTATGAGGAGCAGCTGAGGCAGCTGGGGTTGTTTAGCCTGGAGAAAAGAAGGCTCAGGGGAGACTTTATCAGTTTATAGAACTCCCAGAAAGGGGGCTGTCGCCAGGTGGGGATTGGCCTCTTCTTCCAGGTGACTGGCAACAGGATGAGGGAATATGGCCTCAGGCTGTGCCAGGGGATGTTTAGGTTGGACATAAGGAAGAAATTCTTCACAGAAAGGGTGATTAGACATCGGAATGGGTTGCCCAGGGAGGTGGTGGAGTCACCGTCCCTGTAGGTGCTTAAGAAAAGACTGAACGTGGTACTCAGTGCCATGGTCTAGTTGACATGGTGGTGTTTGAGGTTGGACTCAGATGATCTCAAAGGTCTTTCCCAACCTAATTGATTCTGTGATTCTGACAAGAAATGAGAGTACAAGGTCACAGATGAGAAATAAGAGAAAAATAACGAGGAGGTAGCGACGGTCGGGGCCTCCCTGCCCGGTCACCGAGCCGACCTCCCCCCCTTTCCTCATCCCGCCGCCAGCTTTGGTCCAAACGCTTCCCGACACGGCACAAACCCAGCCCGAATCCCGCGACCGAGGGGGGGTGTTAACGGCGCGGGCAGAACCGTTTTCCAAAGAGCTGAACCATCTGCACCCGCTGCCAGCACCGTCCCCGGGTCCCGCGCCCCGTGCCCGTTCCCTTGTCCCGGTTCCCGTCCCATTCCCGGTCCCGGGGCCGCTCCCGCGGTGACGCACGCGCCCCACCACCCCCCCCCCCGCCCCTCGCGCACGCGCGGCCGCTGCCCCGCGCCCGCTCCCGCGCCCGCTCCGCGCCTGCGCGGCGGGGCCGCTCCCGCCCCGCCCCTCCCGTCCGCGCCCCGCGCTCGTGTGACCGGAGCGGCGGGAGTCGGTCCGCGCCCGCCGCGGAGGCCCCGAGCCCGCACCCACACCGCCGCCCGCGGACGGGGCAGGGGAGGGAGGCCAGGCGGCCTCCCGGGCGCCCGGCACCATGAGCATCGAGATCCCGCCGGGCCTCACCGAGCTGCTGCAGGGCTACACGGTGGAGGTGCTGCGGCACCGGCCGTCCGACCTGCTGGGCTTCGCCGCCGACTACTTCGCCCGCCTGCGGGATGCCCGCGACCAGGAGGCGGGCGGCGGCCGCAGGGTCGTCAGCTTCGACGGGGAGCCCATGCAGACCGAGTCCAACGGCGACGAGGAGCCCGAGCGCGGCGACGAGGACTCGGACTCCGACTTCGAGCGTAAGTGCGGGCGCCGCCGCCGCCGAGGCGGAGCCGGGGGCGCGGGGTCGCGCCCGGGGGATGCAGCCCCGGGGCCGGCGGCCGCCTCCCCGCCCCGCTCGGTGCTTTGCCCCGGCCGCCGCCGCCCGGGCAGAGCCGGAGGGAGGCAGGGATTGAATGGGGGAGAGGCTCCACCGCCGCTCGGGCCCCGCGGTAACACCGCTACCGCCCCGGAGGTCCCCGCCCGAGCCCCGGGGAGCCCCGACCCTCTGGCCGGAGCCCCTTTCCCGGGGCGTCCGGGGCTGCCCCGGGCGGCCGAGCAGCCCCGGGGTCTGAGCGGGGACCGCCGGGGAGCGAGCGCGCTGCCAAGCATGTGATAGGGAAGATCATGTGTTATTGTGCAACCTCTTCTGTACTTATTCTTGCGTTTCTGTCTTTAAATCGTTGTGGACGAGTGTAGGGTTGGTTTTTTTTTTTTTTTTCCCACTGAAGCTGGGGTTGTTTATTGCCGCTGTTGAGCGTTTAAAGTGGTTATTATAAAGCAGCGAAATAACTTTCGCTATTTCACGACGTATTAAAATTCAAAGCCACCTGTATGTTCCTCTTTATGCTGTCGCTCTCTAAGATCGATAAGGTCCTTAACCTGAGCTGAATGAAGCGCCACTTATGATACTTCCATTTTTATTCTGTCAGGACGTACTGTGTGTGTTGTGCTATGCAGAGTATTTGTCATTTGGGCTGTAATTGAGCTTCAGTGCGAAAAGTTATTTAAAATGTTTGTGAATGGTGGTACTTGGCACACCCAGAATTTTGGACCTGAAATCACTGAATACTCTTTTGGTATTAGAAAGTAGTTTAAGGGGAAGGGAAAGGTGAGAAAAAGCATGCTTTTCTTAAACTTTCAGTGCCCTCGATTTGAGGTCTTGTGCCCTTGACCTATAACGGGAGTAAAGGTTTCTGACTTTTATTGATAGAGGATCCCCTTTTAGACCAATTACTGGATGTCACCTTGTGAATGAAGTGTGCTCTTAATGCCTATTCTCTGGTTAACAGTTTTAGAGAAACAGGAAGAAATTAAGCTATAGAACAAGTAATTGTTTTTATTAAGGAAGCATTGAGACACTGGCTGGGTTTTTTTCAGCCCTTTTAGACTGGCTACTTTGCGAAGTGAAACACACTTTTAGTTCTTGAAAATAGACAACCTAAACAAGACATGGAATATGTGAGAGAACAAGAGTGAAACGTGCAGTCAGAATGAATTAAAAAGCAGTTTGCAATTACTGTCTGTATTTGAATTTTTATTTTTTCTAATCAGAGAGAAGTTCTGTTTAGGGCATGAAGAAGAAAAGATGAAAGGTGAAGGGTAAAGAGGTGGACACTGGTAGTGACTGAGTTGAAGTTAATGGCATGTTCAAGTATGAGCACAGATTTATGGAAATTACAAGTGTTTTTATTTGTTCTGCAACCAAGTCAACAATGTCTTCAAACATCTCTAAATATAAAAAAGGTATAGTTTCTTGTAGAATGTATTATTTTAAAATTAAGCTCCAGATTAGAAAAATTGCAGTAAGTAATTGGATGTAATTTTTAAAAATGTTCAATATCTTTGTATATAATGTTTTTCTTAAAAAAAAAAAAAGGAACACAGAAAGCCCAAAAAAACCCAACCGAAACAAAACCCCACTCCACCAGAACTGTTAATGTCTTTGAATGCACCTTTGCTATTTAGTGATCAGTTTACCTAGTTTTAGGGTTTGAAATAACCTTCTTCAGGGAAGTAAGTGTAAAATTATCCTGGTGAATGTTGCAAGTGCAGTTGGAAGGATCCTCTGAAGTTAAATGTTTTCAAAGAAAAATTAAAAAAAAAATATGATGGCGGCAAACAGCTTTTAAAATACAGCTTTACATGGTGAGACTGTCCAGAACAGAAGGGTGGTTCCTTTGCTTCAAGTTTCTGCTTATCATCTTTCTATCTTAGTCAAAGAGAAAATTAAATTAGGAAGGCACGGCAGTGTCACTTGTTGTAGGCAGAGCCCTTTAGGCAAGTGGCACTGCCTGTAATGCTGTCTTGCTTATCTGAAAGCCCATACTGTTTCCTCCTTGTGGTTTCCAAGGCTTGGGTCAGGAGCAGTGCCATGTTCTCTTCAGCAGCAGGGCGAGGATCCCTCTCTAGGGTCAGGGAAATGATCCTTTCTTGCATTGTTCAACAGTGTGGGTGACAGTCAACCATGGCTGTGCGTTTCTTGTTTAGGGTTCTGTTGTAACTGTTGTCGTGTAAGGTTCTAAAAATGAGAAAGTGTTAAGTCAGAGGTTCTGATATCTCTGATGACTGTTATAGATAGGAGCTGTGCCTCGCTGTGGAAGACTAGATCCTGTGTGCTCACACACTGCTTAGTGTTTAAAGGACACTTGGAAATAGAGAAAAACACGCAGTGAGAGACTCAGATAACTGGACAGACCTGAGCACTGTTTATTAAGATTGCAGTTTTTCATCTTGGACAACTTAGGACAGACAATTAATTTCACTGTGTTTTCCTAGGTTAATGCCTTCTTACCTTAGAGTTGCTGAGATAGGCCAAATGGGTGTTTTAAACACATTTCCAAGGTTGTTTTTAAATATAAGGATGAAACTGAGCAATTGTTTTTGTAAGTTATTATGCTAAGGAAACTCGAAGCTAGTTTAAGTATATACCCCTGTTGTATATGTTGGGAGTAAGAAAGATGTCTGCACAAATAATGTGCTTGTCTTAATGTGTCTCCTTCTTGTACAGCATTAAATTTGAGCATGTCACTAGGCTACACCTGCATGCTAAGACTGAGAGAACATTTTGGATAAGTTATGTGAGGGTTTTTTGTGTGCTTTGAGAGAGTGTGGTAATAGAAGCAAGAACAACTCAAAGTCAAAAGGAGCTCTTGGCCTTTGATGTAAATCATGTGGCAAATGTCTTCATGTACTCATAGTGACACCAGTGGTTCCTTTGCTGCCATAATGGCACCCCATCCATGTGGTAAAAGTCACTGAAACAAACTGGACTACAAAAAAGACTTGTATTTTCTTGTCATGCTTAAGAAATTACTTCCAGGTTTATGTTCATTCTGTGATTCCCCCAGAGTTTCATCCTTCATTTTAATTGTTATTGTATATGTGATCAAAGGGCATCAGGATGTGGCTGTTCAGCAGAGTGGATTGTAAGGAATGTGTGGAAATGAAATGATGATAGTTGTGGGGGAACCTCCAGAGACATTTATTCACTGGGCTGTGGCAGAGAATTTTTACATTTGAATCTTTCCTCAAAGCCTTTATTTCATTGGTATAACTGCAAAATTGACAAGTTGATAGAGTTGGGAAAGGTGCAAAGTGACAGCTTCAAAAATCAGGTTGAGGATGTAGCCAAGGATGGATATGTATTCTGAAAGTGTGTCCTTGACCATGACACTTGTACTTTTAACAAGGAGGCTCTGAAGGGATGTGTTAAGATTGTGAAATTAAAGACACAGAAATGGTCTGTTCACTGTTTGAGTCATGGGTTTGGGAAACCTGTCGAGGAGGATACCTGAAGGAAGGCAGGGAGCTCTCCTTCCCTGTCTATTGAGGCAGTTGCACGAAGGTGCAAAGTGCTGCACCATTAACTTTCTGTTAAGTCTCCTTGTTTGTAATAGTAAAAAGAACTGTCTTTGTTCTTGAAGGTATTAAATATAACAGTGAAACTAAAATATTTATGGGATTATATACTAGCTTGAGCAACTCAGGTGTTTCAACTAATCACAAGTATTTTAGTGCAAATCAAATTTTTCCCTCCCAGGATTTCACCGTGATATTGAAGGAAAGATTATGTGCTTTTCAGCTGCTCCCTGAGCAAAAGAGAACCCTTCTTAATATTTAGCTTTTGAGATAATCCTCTTCAGTGTGCTCTGTTTTTGTGAAGGGAAGTGGTGCATATGAATCTGGATGGACAGGTGAAAAGATCCTTTAGTTCTGCACTGAGCTGCTCAATTAAAATTCAGGGATTTGCTAAATGTCATCTTTAAAACATCAACAGGATATCTGAGCAGAAGGGAGTAGGGAGATGCTCTTTTACATTGTTAGATCTTGAATGTGATACAGAATAAGAGTTCAGTCTGCCTTTGAAATATTTATTTTTTTAATTGTTAAGAGAAGAGCTTAATATTAAATTAAACCTGTTTCAGATTGCCTATCTTCTTGTTCTTAAGCATCATTTGCTTATGATTTCTTTTTCTGTACTGGGCTGATACATCCTGTGAAATTCCTAAGGAGTTACTCCTTTACATCAATCACAAAGCATTTATGCTCTGCCTGCATCAATTCACAAGTCATGCATAACTCCTTCCTGTTTTCTTGAAATGAAAATTTCAAGAAAATGAAAATTTTCATAATAAAATGAAACTTATTGAGAGATAGGAGTTGGATGATATTAAGAATTTTGCAGTATAGCATAAGAAGAATAGTGGTCCTTCTGAACAATGCTGTTCGAGTTTTCAGACGTAATTTGGATTCATATGTTGCTGTGAGATACTATCAGCTTTAAAATGAAGGTACTTTTAACTTTTTAGTAGTGCTTTCACCTACCTACTTCCTCCATAACTGTTGATTTACTGGGAATAAAGCTAAGTAGCTCTCTCTTCCCTCTTTTTTTTTTCAGTTTTTTTTTTTGTCCATAACATTAAAAGAACCTTTCTGTGCATTGGGGATTTTGTACAGAATAATTGCATTATATGATGCAAATCCAGTCCAAAGAGGAACTACTCTTATTTAAAGTCTAGGTAGCACAGTGAACACTCTCATAATCTGATGATTACTAGTTCTGCATCTTTTTTTTTAAATAATATTTATAACAAAGCTGTTCTGTGCTCTGCTTAAGTAGTCTCTAGAT